GTCATAACCATATGTAATTTACAGCACGCGCGGGGTAACCGATAAGTCCGGGGGGGGGGTAGAATCTAGCAGTCTTCCAGAAAGGAGAATCTATATTGTGCAATTCACCTCTGTTCGCACTGAGTTGGCAACTCCGCTGCTCGCGCAATCATCCCACCCACCCACCCACAACTTAATTTGCAAAGAAGCCTATGCGGCGGCGATTGCGATGACTGTTTGGTGTTGGCTAGTGAATTTCTGCGGCCGCTCTAGCCCGCGCGTGCTCGCGCGCGCAGCGGCCAGCTAGTTTAGCACGTCCAACGTGGCCGCGGTGGCGCTGACCGCTGGGCACATCCTAACGGGCTCTTGCAATGCGAGTCGGCGACTTGGGCGGGCGCGTTCTCATGGCAACGTCAACAGCGGTAGACACGATGATGATAGTAACGGTGCTGCTGGTGATGATGACAACGACGACGGCACGGCCAGTAACGGCGCCGATGCTGATCACGCCGACGACGATGAGGGCGTCCTCGCGTCGGTGATGAAAGCTGTGGAGGGAGCTTGACATGCGCACGTTGCTGACGCGCGATAGTGGCCCGACTGGTATTAGTTGACACGGATTGTGCCCCCCCCAGCACGCGCGCAAGGGTGTTCGAATGACTTCGACTTGCGGCACGAGAGGCTCGTTTGGCCGAATGTAATGAAGATGCTGAAAAACAGCGTTTGGTTTCCTTCAGAATTCGCAAGAGCACGAGCGCAGGGTTTTTGACATCTGATGATCCACCGACCCTGTCGGCGTGTGTAAGTAAGGGGCTTGTCCATTCAACTTGTCATCTCCGTCATTCGTTGGTCGTCGTCTCTGTCGTCCCCTTTCCCTGCCTCCCCCTTTCCCTGGCCTCGTCGAAACTCCCCCCTTTCCTGGGGACCTCCTCAGTGCGCCAACCAAAGCGAAGTTGAACAACGTCGTTATTTAGTCGAAGGGGAGCCCCTTCCCTTCGATCCCTCACCCGCCAGAGGGTCCCGGGGGGGGGTCCCGGGGGGGTGTCCAGGGGGTGGGGGTCAGGTACGATGCTCCCCCGGAGAGTCCCTGAGCCCCAAAAAGCCCCAAGGCGGGCCAAAAGTGCCCCGAGAGTCCCCAAAGACAGTCCAAGATAACCCCGAATCGCTGAACGATCTGTCCAAGACGCTTTGACGGCCTCCAGACGGCCCAAGAGGCCTGCAAAGCGCCCCAAGAGGCCTCTGGGAGCTTTCCCACGAGAGGCCCAAGAGGCAACATTCATGGATCCCCCATAAATTTTTAACATATTTTGGCGTTCTTGCCTCTTCCGCTTCCCGACGCGCCAAGACGGCCCAAGAGGCCCCCAAGATCGCCCCGAGACGGCCCAAGAGGCCCCCAAGAGTGTCCCTTAACGGCCGAAGAAGGCCCCAAGACGGCCCAAAACGCCTCCAAGACGGCCCAGAAGACCCCCAATACGGCTCCAGGAGAATGCCCAGACGGGTGACCCGAACGGACATTTCGAGCTCTCAGCCCCAAGAGGCCCCCAAAAGGCCCGAAGAAGCCCCAAGAGGCCCCAAGAGGCTCCCAAGGGGCCCCCAAACTGCCCCAAGACATCCCAGGAGAGCCCCAAATTGCCCAGGAGGCCTCCAAGAGTGCTTCCAGACGGCGCAAGAGGAGCCCTGGACGGTCCAAGACGGCCTCAAGAGAGCCCCAGGCTGTCCCAAGAAAGCCTCTGGCCTCCTCCTCTTCCTCCTCGTCCTTCTCCCCCCCTTTGCTCCCCTTCTTCCTGCTTTCCTCAGCCTCCTTCTCCTCCTCTTGCTTCTCCTATACATCCTTCTCCGTTCTACCCCCTCCTCCTCCCTCATCCACCTCCTCCACCCTTCCTCCACCTCCCACATCCTCCTCCCCCTGCCCCCCACTCGTTTTCATCTTCGTCGTTCTGAGGGTCTGCGGCACCGTCCGTAAGGCCTTCGCAATCTAATGTTGCGAACTATATGCTGTAATGTGTTTGCGGGACAATCGATTTCGAACTATTTGCGAAACCAATTTTGTTTGATGATTTCATGCGCACGCGACGACGCGCGCGTGGGCACTTCGTCCCGTTTCTCTTGCAAGGGATTCTTGCGACAGCACGCGCGCAAGGCCGCTCAAACGATTTAGGCGTGCGCGCGCGAGAGGCCCATTTCGTAACATATTATGACACTGTTGAACACTTCAGGGTTTCCTTAAGCATTCGAAAGAGCACGAACGCAAGTTGTTTTGAACACCTGTGTTGCGAATCCACGTTCAGAAATATGTGTTCGGGACACTCGATTTTGAAACCCTTACGACACCTACGTTTTTTGAAAGATTTCGGCATGCGCGCGCGACGACGCGAGCGTGTTCACTTCGCACCTTTCTCGCAACATATAGTTGCAAACGGGTGATGTTTGATTAACGGGTGTGGGCGCGTAGGTCATTTAGGCCGAGGATGAGGGGGGGGTCGATGCCGGCTTGGCTGGTCTGGTACGAATCCATATTTCGAATGGGCGACGGGGGAGAATCGCATCTGGGGGTATAGATCCGAATACCTTCTTGGCAAAAAAAAGCTAACCTACGGGCGGCGACGAAGCGGCGACGGGGCGGCGACGGCGACCAAGGAACCGCCAGACCGCCACGCAGGCCCAGACGACGGGCGGCGACGAGGCGGCGACGGGGCAGCGACGGCGACCGCGGAACCGCCAGACCGCCACGGAGGCCAAGTTCCTTATGACAAACAAGCAATAAGAGCTCCTACGTGCAAGCGCTGTTTTGGGAAGGGAAAAGTGTTAGACGGATGTCAGCACCCGCAAATCGTGGCGCGCGCATGTGGCCCGCATGGTATCAGTCGGGGCAGGTTCGTTCACTGGGCGCATGTAAGTTCAACGCTGATGCATCGCGTGTCGGAATGAGAATGCGGGTTCTGGACGGCATGGTAAACTCATAATGTTCACCTATGGTTTCAGCAAATGCGCCAGGGCAGAATATCTGCGATACTTTTGTTTGCTTCAGCTGAAATGCCAGCAGCACCAATGTGGGCAGTATGATTTCGACATGTGTGCGCGCGTGCTGTTTTGTTTGGTTCGTTTTGGAAAAGGGGTTATTGTAACACTATCCGTCGAGACCAACGAATGCGCACGCATTGTATTATTCCAATGGGGTGACAGGGTGACCGTACTGGTTTGGCTGGGATGGTATGCTTTCATGTGGAAGATGAGCGACGATGAAGCAGACCCATATGCACATTGCAATTCGAACAAGCCGACTGTTAACCCTGGGCGCGGAAAAGTGGAACGTAGAATTTATAACTCGAATATAAAGCGAACCCGCCTGTGGAAATTGCAACCGTCAACTCCAACGCTCGTGCGAAAACCCAACCCTCCCACCCGCAATTTCTTGGAAACGCTCATCTGACCATGATCTCAACGAGCGCACGGGCGCGTGGAATTCTGTTGCGCAGAGAAGTCCGTCCTGCTGGTCGCGAAATGGTGGTGGCGATGGAACGTCCGCGACACCAGTGGCGATGCCGATGCCGGTGGTGAGTACGCTGGTGCCTGGTGATGACAGTGGCGATGGGGACAAGGCAATGTCAACGCCGATGACGATGGTGATGGTGATGAGGCTGATAGTGGTTATAGGGACGGTGGCAACGATGACGCCTGCGATGTTAATGACGATGGTGCTGGTGACGATATTAACTAAGTGCCCGCGCTCGGAAATATGACCCAGGGTGACGGTATCGACGGAACCAATGTCAGCGTTTTCTGATTCGGCGTTTCGACATTGGGCGAAAAGGGGGGGAGGAGGAAGGTCTGGCTCAGGATCTCTGTTTGATTCGGCTGTTTGGAACCGTGCGTCCTCTGGGGGGAGACTCCACCTGCTTGAAACAGGCGCCGAAAACAGGCAGATCTACTCCATGGGGGGGAAGCGGGGGGCGGGTGCGAGGGCCCGCGCCGATCGGCAAAACAATTAATAAAATAACGACCACAATAATGATGACGACGATGGTGATGATGATGGTGATGACGATGGCAATGATGACGATCACGATGATGATAGCGCGCGTGGCCCACATGGTATTAGGGTTGGTGGGCTGCGCGATGGTTGTTGAACGTTTTCGACATGCGCGCGCAAGTGGCCTGTATGGTCTGATTTGACAGTATGGCTCAACGCCCCGCGCGCAGAATTCAGGCAACCTCATGTTGACTTACAAATGGTTCTTGACAAATTCCAACCAACCATGTTGGAACATGGTCTAACGCGAGATTATGCTACAAGGTTTCGACGTGCGCGCGCCCGTGCGCGCATGTGCCCCATAGTGCATTTGGTTCAGGGGATGATTCGCAAAATCACTTACTGGATCAACGCATGCGCACCGCATGGTTGTTGTTTCTTGCAAGAGATGGCGGGGGGACGGTTGATGCCAGCTTGGCTGGGGTATACGAGCCGATGTGCAGCACGAGCCATGACGCATGATCATCTGTAGATTGCGTTCTGTCATGGTCGGCGCCGCTCAATTTGGTCTGGGGAGGGTGGTAGCCGTTATTCCGAGGGGCCGCAAATTGAATTCTGCCAGGGGGGACGCTCTTCCGTTCAAGGCAAAACTTATCGGGCGTAAGCTCTGCGGTGTCTTCCGCGGGGTGCACTCTACGGGCGGCGACGGAGCGGCGACGGGCGGGCACCCGGCGAACACCCGGCACGCCGGGCCAGGCCCCCGATGGCGGCGACGAGGCGGTGCTGGGCGGGCTGGGCGGTGCCGAAGCTCTGGCAGGCCCAGCCAGCGCGTGAGGTGGCGACTTTGCGGCGCCTCCTGACGCAGCGCTACATCACGCGAGATTGCGCTCTGGTGTCGCGTAGCACCACTTCCTCCTCCCCCCCCCTTCCCCCGCAGAATCGTGCTTTTCCATGTCTGGCGGCTGCGTATCTGTGGTTCTATCTGCTCTCAGCGCCAACATCCCGCACCGACGCCCCTGGGATAGCCTGCCATTTGGACAGCCCTGGGAACCGACATACAAACTCGCCGACACCAACTCGCTCCGGCGAGAAGGAGATGTGTACACAAAGACAACGTCGAGGAGGGCAGACAGCATCATGAGAACCTCGGCGACTACCATCATCGCCTTAGGCGAGTCGGAACTTGAGAACGTCAAGAGCAACAGCCCCTGATTGAACACGAAGAAAACCATTACGATGAAGGCGAGGGACATCTCCGACCAGAAATGTACCGCAGTGAACTCTGGGCGCCTCCAGACCGCTAGCTTCCTCATCAATCCCAGCCGGGATAAAAACGTGGAATCCTTCTCCAGAACGCGCAAATGTGCCTTGTAGGCAAAGCGGAAACGGAACCATCGCCCGCTCTTTGCGCAGTGCCAGTACTTCCTCGGCCTATCTAGTATGTACTTTGCCACTGCAGATACGACAATGACGCAACACAGAAAACCACACTGAACCATGTTGCAAACGTACAATTTTTCGAAAGGGGCCAGGACCTCTTCGCGGAATGTGTCCCCTACGCCGTACAGGCCAATTTTCATGGTTGTGCAATCCATCAGCTTGAACAGCCTCTGCATGATCGACAACCCAATCAACACTTCATCCACGTTGCCAATGACATTTGCCAACGCATCCCTGTTTAGTAGGAGCTCCTGTGCGGGAGCGCCGCCAAATCAAGAGTTCAATACGTGAATTTTGCGTACCTGGCGTCTTGTTATAACCACCAGAAGCGGCATGCATTCATGCGAACTTGTCGGTTTCCAAGTCGAAAGAATTATTAAGGTGGGCCCTCCTTGCCCTTAAGTCGGTAAGTCGGGATTGGAATCAATCCCAAACGCGCCCCCCAGACATTGCCCCAGGCACTTTCCCTAATACGGCATTAGGCGCGTCCTCAGACCCGCCCTCAATCTCGTATGCCTCCACACGCACCAAGACAGCAATGCAACTATACACTGTTATCGGGGTGCCTCACCAAGGTAGTATGCATTATCCAAGCAGTGCTTGCCCCGAATGATTCCCACCTTCACTGCTCGGCTCTAAGCCCTGAAATCATCAAGGGGGTCAGCCGTGCAGCCTCATAGCCGCAAGCTGCAATCTGACGGCTCTGGCGCACTCCGGCCGGGGACGGGAGGAGGCCGCTCCTCGATCTGATCCGACGCCACTGCCACGAACGTCTTCATCTCGTCCACGGTGAGGCTCGCCGCCGCTTCCTCGCTGGGGAAGCTGATGGGAACGCTGTCCCCTGACGCGGGGTCGCAAACCTGGGCCTGCGCCTGGTGCCCTCCTCGCCGCTTCCCCGTTGAGGGAGTGGAGGAAGGGGAGGGAAAGGCCACGGGGATGAGGAGGAGAGGGGAGGGAGAGGAATGGCGTGGGGAAAGGAGGGGGGAGAGGCAGGAGTGGGGAGGGAGGGGGCGAGAATAAGGAAGAGGCCTTAGACCAAGCAGTCCAAACCTCGGCCTCGGCGCAACTTATGCCATTTCAAGTCCCGTCGGCGCTGTATCGACTCCGGCTGGGGGAACAAAAGGTACCGAGACCGCTACTCCCCTGACCTATCTCGAGATGCCTCCTGACCAGAATTTCGAGGCGAATCCAGCCGCGGTGACGAGGGGCTCCCAGGAGGCCCAAAAAGGCGAACACAAGGGGAAGGTAGCGGTATTGATAGATGATCCTTTGCGAAACAGCAGGAGGGGAGGATCATGTGCAAGGTTGGGCGCACTGTTTTCATCCCGAGCCTGTGTTCGCCATAGAGGACGCCACCGCTGCAAACGTCGCTCCCATGGCGACGTCGCCGCCGTCCTCGCTGCAGTAGGCGATCAGCTTGGTGAACTCAGCAGCTTGGGAGGAATAATCAGTCCCGTTGAGAGCCGCACTCACGTCAGGCGTCTCTGACATCTCGTTGTCGATACCTCCGGAAAAAATACGGGTACCGCTACCCATCCCTCGTCGCCACGCCTGGATTCGCTTCGAAATTGTGGTCAGAACGATCTCTGGGAGAGGTCTGAGAGGTAGCGGCATCGGCACTCTCTTGTTCCCCAAGCACCATTGAAGATGGCAAGCATTGTTCCGTACATCGTGCCAGCGAGGAGCTGGAGCAGCAGAGCGAACAGCCCTGCGAAGTGAACCCCGAGCATCAGGTGTGGCCTCTTGCTCAGAGATGCCGCGAAAGCCATTGCGTAGGTGACCAGGACAAGCTGCATGAACACAAAGGCCATCGCCTCGCCTGTTGAAGCCACGGCCAACCACATGCAACGCATGGCCTAGGGCAACTTTATTGCCTCCCTCATTCCCTCCCTCTGCCTCCGTCCCTCCCTCAGGTTTTTGGACTTTACAGGGAGGCCGCGGCGCTGGCCGTTGCCAGACTGAGCTTGAACTGATGGGCCTGCATGTCTGTCTAAAGGAAATGCTACCTTTTCGCGCGGGGCTTCAATTTTCCGCCGCTGGCCCTGACTGGCCCCGCGTGGCCGCTTGCCCAGCCTTGCCAGGCATGTGGTTGACCACGGCCAGCCCCGAGTAGCACCGCTCGGCTGCTTGCTCTGCTTGTGTGGGGGCTCGGCTGGCCCCGGCCCACCGCTACCCGTTTGAGAAGCCCCGTGCGGCCGCTCGCACTGCTCTGCTGGGAACTCGGTCTGCCACGCTTGTGCCCCGACTTACCCCGCCCGGCCGCTTGGTTCGCCGTCGCTGGCCCCCACTAGCCCCGCATGCTACGGCTTGTCCTGCCTAGGCGGGAGTTCGGCTCGCTTCGGCTCGCCCCAGTGTGCCTCTCGTGGCCGCTTGCGCTGCTTTGATGGGAACTCGGTTGGCTGCGGCATGCCTACGATGAGTACTTGCTACTGTGTAGTCTACATGCGCCAGCATCATTATCAGTGTTGAGCCCTCGGTCACTTGTGTAAACTGCGCTCGTCAAGAAGCTTTCTGCCTTGCTGCTGGCGTCCCTCGCATCGGCGGCCAAGGCCGTGAACGACGCGACGGCCTCAGTGAGAGCGGAGGAATCATTCGAAAGGCTCGCGTACTGGTCCATGTCGCTGCCCATCGCAGTGATCTCCACAAGCTGCTGGTCCGCGATGGCCAGGGTCTGCTCAAGAACTGGCTCCATGCCCGTTAATGTCGCCCCCATGTAAGACCACGCAACTACGACAAGCAAGAACCCAGCAAAAGCAAACGCGGCTACAACAATCCGTGCCTCACGGTGCGTGCTGCCACCAAATCCCCTGCCGAACGACGAAAGCGTCTTAGGCCAGAACCCGACATAGAGAATCCTGGGCGGGATGAACAGGAACACGAAGAGACATCCGACGAAAGGCGGCCAAAAGTACTTCAGCACCTGGGGGAGGAACGGGAGGGGAAGACACCCCGCAAATATGCTTCAGATCCAAGCCCAGCACCTCGCCAGCAGATCTCGCGATGATGTTCTGCTGGGTCGTGTTCTGGGTGACTGCGCTGAGCAGGCCGCGCACAAGTTCTCCCTGCTCCAAGGCCATCAACGGCCCGAGAGTCAACGACATGAAAGTAACTGCAATCAACGCGTACCCGATCCGCTGGTCCCTTCGGGGGCCACTGGGCCAGTTAGGCGGGCCGCCCCCAATTAGGGGCATGGGGAAGGACGAAACGGGCAGGGAGGGCAGGGAGGGGAGGGGGGGGGTGGAGGGGGAGGACGGACGACTGGGAAGGGGCGTGGGGTGGAAAGGGGTAAGACTGCAGGTGATCATCTAAGGAAGGGGGAGCGGGATGTAGAGGGAGGGAAAAGAGGGAGGGAGGGGAGAGGGCCAACGAGACGTCAAAACATAAGACCCAATAATTGCAACAATATAGCCCCGTGTCTATACACCCTACCGTCTGGTCGTGTTGGCGCGAAACGCTGTGTAGCACGATGCAGCAAGTGCTTCGCCATGCTAACCACTGGTGGGACACCACCGTCACCTTTGCAAGCTAATGTCAATACAGTGGAGGCCAGTCCACAAGAAAGCTTCCACAAAAAGCCCAACCCTGAGACCCCAGGATGTCCATGAACTTTTGGTGTGGGAGCGTCATGCTTCCCGCCGCAAAGCCATGGAACCCCAAGAAACCCAGGGCACCCCGGAGGCAAGCAGGGTGTTTCTTGGCATGGGCCTCCACTGTACCCCCCCCCAGGCCCTGGACTCATCCTGCACCAGAGCTTCCCATCCCTTCTGCGCCAGAACGGTAAAGGAAAGAGAGAAAGAGGAGGTGGGAACAAGAAAGAGGCGGCCCAGGTGGGAAAACGAAGGGCCAGAAGATGGAATCAAGAGGCGGGCGGGCGGGGCGGGGGGGGAGGGAGGTGAGGGAGGATAATCAAAAGAGAAGACTCTGCAAAGGAAATGCGTTTCGCCCTGAACTCGCTCTGGTCCTTCTCGCCCCTCCCGCCACCGCTCGTCCGGAACCTATACCTAGAGAGCCAAACAGGGTACCGATGCCGCTGCTCCCCAGACCTCTCTCAAAGAATCGAAGACGCCATGAGCAGAACCTTTTGGCGCTCCGCGCGGATCTCTTGGATTTGTGCTGGACCCCTCTCCCTGGTGCGCAGAGCGTGCCAGGGGCGGCGCCAAAGGCGCCGCCAGAGGGGGCCCAGAGGGGATCCAAGAAATCCGCGCGGAGAGCCAACATTTCATGTGTATGGCGTTTTTCGGTCTTCGACTCTGCCAGAGTACGGTCCAAGGAGAATCCAGCCATGGCGGCGAGGGCTCTTCAGGGAAAACAGCGGTGTCGGTATCTTTTCGACCTCTGAACGCCTCCCGGGCTCGGAGAACTTGATGGCGTAGTGAGTCTCCCCGCTGACGGCCTCCCTGAACTGTACCTTGCGAGCGTTTTCTTATTCGGCGTTTCGACATTGAGCGAAAATGGGGTGGTGGTCTGGCTCTGGACCTTTGCTTGATGCGACTGTTTGCACCAGTGCATCCTATGGGGGAGGCTCCACCTGCTTGAAACATGCGTCAAAAACAGCCAAGATCTACTCCATTCGGGCGTTGGCGGAACTGGGCTACGGGACCTGGCTTAGTGATGTCTACTGGGGGACCCCCCCGCCCGATTCCACTAACTGGAACTGCCGTCACACGAAGAACAACTGTCTACTGCAAACCTGGTTTAGCGATTCCAGTCCATATTTTGGGCTCCAGGGCCCAATCACTAACCGGCTCCCCTTAACCATATACCCGATCCATGGGGGGGAAGGGGGTGCCAGGGCCCGCGCCGATCGGCAAAACAATGAAGAAGAAAACGGCCACCTTGACAGCCACCGACGTGATTTGTTCCATCCGCGGCTCCAGAGGTCTTGGACCCTTCCCTGGGGCCAACTTCCCGCCCCCGATCCGTTCTTGATGGTGCTGGGGCCCGTGAACTGGCTCCACAGCCCCATGGGCCGAAAGACGCCGGATCGGAGCAATTATATTGTCGGATATCTGGGTACGCTGATCGCCGTGTCCGAGCTGCCCGACACCGGCTTCTCAAACCACGCCGGGTCCTCCGGTTCCAGCTCGAGGCCGCTGTGCCACATCCAGATTACGGAGTCGCCTGCGGGCCCCTGGACCTCCGCCTCCCTCCCTCCCTCCCTCCCTCCCCCCCCCCACCCTGCATCCTCCCCCTCCTTCCCTCCCTGCATCCTCCCCCTCCTTCCCTCCCTCCCTCCCAAGCCACCGTCCTGGTTCGAGGTTCCGGGGGCTCTAAACAGTTATCCGAGAGCCTCGCACGGGACAGCTGCCACGCGCGTCGGTCAGCGCCCGTGGCGGCGTTCGGGCTCGGCCGTGCGCGGGGCCCCACCGAAGCCGCGCGGCTGCTGCCAGGCCGCAGAGGGCTCCCCACGCCGCGCGAGGCAAAGCCAGCCCGGCATTGGCGCGCCACTGGCGCGCCAATGCCGGGCTGGCTTTCTCTCGCGCAGCCGCCCTCCTCGTGCAAGGTCTGTCGGATCTTTCTGCCATGGGGCCGAGAGGGCCCGGTTCGAGGCCCGCCGCCCTCGTGCCCAAGAAGTGGCCCCTGGTTCCCAGGCGTCCCCAGAGCACGTGGCTCACCCCACGGGTGAGGACGCCTACGTCGCAGCGGTCATCGGAGCCTCCCCCTCCCTCGCCCCCGCCCCCCCCCTCCGCCTCCCGCGCCTCTCCATTGCCCCGCCTTGTCCGAGGCCCAGCGATGCAGGATCAACATGCATACATTATCAAAGCCCGACGCAGAACGCACCTGCGAGTGGCCCCGTGGGCCGCGAGCCGGCTCAATCTGCAGCGGATTGGGGCCGCGGCTACACCGTCAGGGCCGGCTTCTCGGGGGACACAAGCCGACTCATCCCCGCTAGGCCCCCAAGTGACACAGCGATAAGTAATAGCAGTCCTGTGGAGAGACGCTGGGATCGCCCGCTCGCCCTCCCTCCCTCCCTTCCTCCCTTCCTCCCCCTCGCGACCATAATGAAATAACTATGCGACCACCCTTCGGGTGATAAGGAGGGTGTGGGGGGAGAGGAGGGGGAACCAACATCTGATTCAATCGATCTCACTATCGATCTCACTCAACGGGACACCACGGGACACCACGGGACACTTGTCGATCTCACTATCGATCTCACTATCGATCTCACTATCGATCTCACTCAACGGGACACCACGGGACACCTAGGGACACCACATCGATCTCACTATCGATCTCACTATCGATCACACTCGACGGGACACCACGGGACACCACGGGACACCACGGGACACCTGTCGATTTCACTATCGATCTCACTAGCGGTCTCACTTTTTGGGACACCGCGGGACACCTCGGGGCACCACATCGATCTCAGTATCGAACTCAGTATCGATTTCACTATCAATCTCACTATCAATGTCACTATCGATCTCATTCAACGGGACACCACGGGACACCACGGGACACCGCGGGACACCGCGAGCCACCGCTGGACGGGCGGGAGGAGGATAATCATGTGTCTTGACTTCGCCGTAGCAACGGCGGACACCACGGGACACCAGCGGGACACCGGCGGGACACCGCGGGCCACCGGCCGCCAGAAGAGTAACATTTGGTCCGGCTGCGGCCCAGCCACAGGAAGATTTCGAGACACCAGCGGGACACTGGCGGGACACCGCGGGCCACCAGCCTCCGGAGGAGAAACATTTGGTCCAGCCGCGGCCCAGCCACAGGAGGATTTCGTCTCGCCCGCCCACGCAGCTTCGCCTCGTCCGCACGCACGCACGGCACGCACGACACGAACCCGAAACCGAAATCGATTTCCCGGTAGGGGGGGTCTCCGTTTCACGTCGGACTCACCCCCGAACCTCCGATTTTCGCACCGCTGCCCTCTTCTCTTTTCCCCGCGAGGGGTTCGGGGTGGCTGGCGGTGGAAGCGCTTGTCTGCGCCGCCCAGCCACCCCTTGAGTCATGAAGCACGGGTGCGCCCCAAGCCCTCGTTCGACGACGACGACCTCTTGCTCGCAGGCTCTCACGCGGCAGTGGCAGATTGGTCAATCGCTGTTCTTTCTCCCTGGGGCTGGGTCGCACGTGTAACCCAGGGGGGGGGGGCGCACGGGGGCGGTCATGGCCTCGGAGGCTCCAGCGTGCGTGCCTGCGGTCGGGAACTGTTGCTTGGCGCGTCGCGGCGCGGCCCCGGCGGCGCGCTACGCCAGCGGACAGCGTGTCGCTCCGCTCCATGGGGTGGGATGCTCGGAAAAGCTCGGGACGCGAACGACTGGGGACCGAGGTGCGGACGGCGAAGCTTGGTGGACCAGGACCGGCGGAGCGACGCGCTCGGGAATGATAGGCAAACGTGGACGTAACGGCACATCAAATGAAAAATGCGATGAAGATTGAACCGAGCCCAATCTTGAAAACGGAGTGGGGGCAGCGCATCTCCAAAGGGTGCCATGCAGGAAGAGGCGGTACCCACTCTTGGTAGGCCGCGGTGGACGCCACAACAGCGTCGGACAACGTGTCAACCCTGGACGATGGCGACAGCGTCTCCGGGCTGTGCATTCTCATGATGAACGCTTCGGTCCGCATGTGTCGGTTGATACAAGGCCCCGCGCAGGAATACACACCACATTATATGGCGTGCTCGCTGGCATGGAACCTGTGATTTTGCGCGCAAGAATGCGACGGGGAAGTGCATCATCGCATTCTCGACACCAATCCTTCAGCCGTGGACTGACCACCAAATCGACGCACATCCTGCGCTCGAGGCGGGCGCGCCATTAGGGGGCCTCGGTTTCTTCAGTTCTTTCCCGCTTGAGTCATCCTCGCCACTAACTTCGGACACTTTCTCTGTGAAACTTTCACGGTTGTACGTTCGTGCTGTCATCGCGTGCTCACTGCAAGTTGGGAGGTGCATGCGCGGGAATATCGTTAAGACTCTTTAGTTCTTTGCGAGGCATCAGCAGATATCGCCTCCTTCCGTGACGAATCCAGAACATGCTCAACATTGTCTGTGCAACCATCGGCGGTGCAAACCATTCCCTCACCATTCCCATTCTTGTCGCCCAGATGGCCCTGGCTTCTTGATGGAACAAGTAATGCTACAGTCAGCCTGTATTATAAGGATGCGCGATAAAGATGCGAGGGCCTTGGAGGCCCATGCGATTTTTTTTCGAGCGAGGTTGGCCGGCGAACGTCGCTAAGGATGGGCCGGAAAGAGCAAGGATGCAAGGGTACCCTAGGAAAGGGTGCCCATATTAATTACGCGGGTTGACTGCGCATCTGACACTGACGCCTACGATCTTCTTCGAACATCGCGCATCGATCAACCGCCCGATGTGTGCCAACTATTGCATGCGAGAAGATGTCGGCCGTGCGATGGTAGCAAGCGGGCGCGGCGCATCCAAACTGTAACGATGTGCATGTATGGTGTTGAAAAAATGTGCCGGAATTCGGGTGTTCGGCATGGCCATGCATCGACATGTCCTTCCGCTCTCCTCCCCTTCCCTTCGCTTCTTCCCCAGACAATCCCCCGTGCCCGCCCCCGCCACCCTGCCCTCCCCCCTCTTCGTTCCCTCCCCCGCACTGGTCCCCTCCCCCCTTCCCCCTGCCGATGCATTGAATTCGGTCATTTCTGTGCGCCGGATCGCCGACAGGAATCGTGGTTCTAGTCTTGGACCAGTTCAGCCTGGCTGGTGGGGCTCGTTCAGCGTCTGCTGCAGGAAAACAGAAATGGCGCACCTACCCCACCCCCTCCTCTTTCTCTCCCCCTCCTCCCGCTCCACCCTTCTCTCCTTGCCCTCCTCCCTTCCCCCTTTCCCCCCGACCCCTCTGCCGCCCCCTGCTGTGTCCCCCCATGGCAGGAAGGAGGGGGGAGGAGAGGGAGGGGGGAAAGGATAGTGAGAAGGGGACTGCTCTATGGGGTGGTGGGGTAGGTGCGCATTGTCCGCTTTCCATTCTGGAACCACTGCTGACAGTTGCTTGGGGTCAGAGCTAGGTTGACCCTTCTTGGCAGGCGCGCACATCTCTCTTATGATCTCCGCACCCCCATGCGTCGACGTCGGGTGCTGTGGCCTCTCTTGCTTCTCTGTGCTCTTCTTGGACAAATCCGAAACAAAGTTGTTCCTCAGCTCTTCGCTTCTCTCTGATGTCTTCGCTGCACATGAAGCAGTTCTCCCCGATGCCTTCGCAGCACCAGTAGCAGCAACCTGCTCTATCTCCACCACGGAGTCTTGAGATGGATATGATGCCCCCGCCACTTGCTCCATGACCGCGTCGCCCTCAACGCCGATATTTTCAAAAGAACTTCGTGCTCGCGCTCCAGAAATCTCCTCCACGACTACTTCGCACGACACTTCGCCTTCAGCGGAGTCAGCCATGCCTCCCCGAATGCACAGGCGTACCGATTACTTGAGCCACATGCCCGGCGTCTGCAAAGCACAGGTGGCCTTTGCCAGATGCCCCCATGAGCCGAAGCGATTATGGAACGAGGTCCAGCCCCCTCCTGTCTCTGCATGTTCTTCCTTTGCTCGACTGCCCGCGTATGCGCTCTCCGAAGAGAGGATGGCTGGAAGCAAAAGAAATTAGAGACAGCGTGAGAGGCAGCGTTGCTCGGATCCAGAACTCTGGCACGCGCTGGGGCGAGATCGCTCTTTCGAGCGACGGAAGCAATGCACGCATCCTAACATTTGGCCAACGTTGCAGCGCAGACTCCTTTTTGGAATACCGAAGGTGTTCCGATTGTGGGCATCATGAACAAACGCCGCCTTTAGAAATCCTCAGTGAGAAGCAAATCGCGAAGGGCGGTGTCCCAAGAAAAAACGGTGCCAGAGTGAGAGAATACCAGTGCTCGTAAGAAGCAGTGCCAAGGCCACGAGAGACCCACGAGGCCTCGAGACGCCCCACGAGGCTCCACGATAGGCCGAACTCCGTGTCCCTGCGCGTTCTCCACAACCACCGAGGCCCCCAACAAGCAATGCAAAAACCTAAGATCCACATGGGGCCCTTAAGAGGTCCTCAAGATAAACCCACTGGCTCCCAAGAGACCGCTCAGAGGCCCAGTAGTGAGGAAAAGTACTCCTTAGAACATCTCGTCCACGATCCACCCAACGACATGCTTTCCCACACGCGGGCTTCACAGGTTAGTGGGCGAACCACCAAAGCCCCTGTGAGAAATCCACACCAGAAGACTGCTGAATCCAATGCTATCCAATGCTTTGATTTCAGGGTCTTGAAAGATCTCGGAACAATATTGCAATCACCGGCCGTGCCATGGCATCGTTCAGAGGCGGAAGGGCAAGTGACAAGTACAACGCACTGCCTACTCTAGGCCCTCTCTCCCACACATTGGCCTCGAACAGCAGGAGAAACCTCCCCTTGGAACACCTCAAACGGTCACCTAGGCCCTCGCGACGGACTTCGGAGGCCTCACAATGATCCCATATGGCCCCAATCTGAGCCAAGAACTCTCCAAGAAACTCGTGGGAGGCCTTCAACATAGATAAGCCGTAGGATGATGATTAAAGACATGTGGGGAAGAGCGTGCAAATGGGGGGCAAGGGGGGGAGGGTGGTAAGGATGAAAAGGAGGGGGGGGGGAGGGATGGAGGGATATGGGACGGAAAGGGTCAAGATGCCTGCGCGAGGCTCTGGAGATGACCTCTCTCGCCCTCGCGAGGCTTCTTGATGCTCGGAGCGCAGCCTCACGGCGCTGCTGTACTTTCCGCCTTCACAGGCCCCCGAGGCTCCTGGCGCAGATCGGGAAACTCCGAACGGCGTTCCGAGTGCTGCCCTCCCCAATCCCCCAGGCCCTGCGTCTCTGTGGGGTGCCTGCGGAGGTGGGCGCCGCCAGCAATCTTGGGAGGCCATTCGATATTCTCTCGTGGCGCAATCTCATCTCGGTGGGGCAGGTGGGGACGGCACGAGTGAAAACGAGCCTGGGGAGATCAGGCAGCTTACAGCTCAGACGACTAAGCGGACCCATCGACATATTGTGCTACTCGGCAACTGGGCAACTCCGGGCACCCTGGATCCAATCATGTGGGCGTCGCACTTTTGCTTCCGACGCTTTCGGCCAGCCCTCGCCAGCATTGAGCTTCAAGGCGAAGTGAGCCGAATGCGAGGCCATTTCAAGAACACCGCAAATGGTAAGAACTTGTGTCATAGTGAAGCTCGCCCACGACACGCGTGTGCACCACGAGAGCAGTGGGCTCTCCGCACTCGGGGGCATGCGCAAGCGTGCGCCAAGCTGGATATGAGAACCCTTCCCCTCAAGGAGAGTCCCAGATCAGACAAGCCGCGTTGAAGAGTGACAGGACGAGGCGAGAAGGGGGAGGGAGGTGGGAGGGGGATGGCGTTGGAGGAGGGCGGATTGGAGAGAGGGAGGGGGTGAGGGACGGGCACGGTGGGACAAAGGGGGATGAGGGAGACGATGAGGAAAACATGAGAACGCGAGGGAATGGAAATGATGGATGAGGAAGGGGGAGAATGTAGGGAGTGGAGGAGAGCATGGAAACAACGAGATCCATCGTCGAAAGCGTTTCCGTGCAGTGCCAGCAACTAACCTGTGATTCTAGAAAAGGCGCAGCCGGTCCCCCCTCCACGGGGCTGAGGGGCGACGTCAGGGGGGGACCGGCTCAGGAGGGGAATCCTCGACCTCGAACCGGCGATGCATCGCCGATAGATCAGCGACCCCCCCCCATAGCGCATCCGCTCGCTCGTGGGCAGGGTGGGCTAGCAGGCCAATATCGGCGATGAATGGGCTACTGGACGTCGATGCGACCGCCTTCTGAGCCTAGTCCCTGGGAGGCGCAGGATCGCAGAGGCCTGCCCCCCGCGCCGCGCGCACCTCGCGCCGACGCCTGTGACCGCCGTGACCTCGCCGCGCTGCGGCAGCACGTGGGGTCTCTGCCGCCGCGCCGTGCGGGCTGGCGCCGTGCTCGGACTCGATGGGCCACTACGAAGAGCAACTCAGTCTGGCCGCCAATTGGGCGTGGCTTAATGGGGGGGTCATAAATGGGGGGGTCAGAAACGGTCCTCTTTCGTGCCCCTTTCGAGCCCCTCCGGACCCCCAGGGGGCTCGTTTAGGTACCGTTTGGGTACCTTTTCGGACCACCCTCGCCACCCCCCCATTTATGACCCCTCCATTACGCAACGCCCAAGCCAATAATCCTGCGCCGCCGCCGGCCTCTCTCTGCGCGGTGGTGCCCGATGATCTGCGTCCTGTTCTGCGCGCCAGAAGCCGCCCCCTGAGCGCGCAGTTGAGGCGTGCGATGAGAGGGCGGGCCTTCGGAAGAGGCGCCTGCAATGTTGGGGCCGGCGTCCCCCCCGCGCCCCGCGGGGAATGCTGAGGCGAATTCTGGAGGGGGCGCGCGCGGGGAGTGCCGGGGCAGGCGTCGACGGATCAGAGTTCACTCGCCGCCGCGCGGGGCGCCTGTCGTGAGATGCGCGCTCGCGGACTTCTCGGAACTGAAGAGACCTCGCGGCGCCCCAGCCTGCGCGCTCACTTGGCGAATGAACTCGAGCGCCTCGGCCAAGGGTCGCCGAAGACGGCGAGGGCGAGGCCGAAAGATGACCGCCGATGGCGTCTGGTGTCTTGGTCGACGGGGAGACAGTGGCATCCGCCGAACGCCTCTTCAGAACGCGTCGCTCGGCCGCCGCTGGCCTGCCTGTGCGCGGTGGTGTCCGCTAGTGTGTCCGCCGATCTGCGTCTTGTTCTGCGCGTCGGAAGCCGTTCTCTGAGTGTGCAGTAGAGGCATGCGGTGAAATTGTCAGGTCCTCGAGACAAGGGTGGGCTTCGGGAGGGGGCGTCTCCAATACTGGGACAGGCGTCGCCCCCCCCCCCCCCCCTCCCCGCGGGGGGTGCCGAGGCGAATGCGGGGGGGGGGTGCGCGCGGGGAGCGCTGGGGCAGGCGTCCACGGATGAGTCCACTAGCGCCGCGCGGGGCGCCTGTCCCGAGACGCGCGCTCGCGGATTCCTCGGAGCTGAAGAGAGACCTCGCGGCGCCCCAGCCTTCGCGCTCACCCGGCGACAGAAATCGAGCGCCTCGGCCGAGGGTCGCCGAAGACGGCGGGGGCGAGGCCGAGAGACGACCGTCGATGGCGTTTAGGATCTTGGTCGACTGGTTGCGTTGGCATCCACCGCGCGCCTCTTCGAAGCTCGTCGCTCGGCCGCTGCTTGCCTCTCTGCGTGGTGGCGTCCGCTGATTTGCAATCTTGTTCTGCGCGTCAGAAGCCGCCCTCTGAGCGCGTTGTAAAGGCATGCGATGAGATGGCCGGGCCCTCTAGACACGGGCGGGCCTTTGGAGGGGGCGCGTCCGACGTTGGGACAGGCGTCGCCACCCGCAGCGGGGGGTGCTGAGACGAATGCTGGGGGGGCGCGCGCGGGGGGTGCGGGGGCAGGCGCCTGCGGATCGGAATCCGCTCGCCGCCGCGCAGGGCGCCCGTCCTGAGATGCGCGCTCGCGGATTTCCCGGAGCTGAAGGGACCTCGCTGCACCCTGGCCTGCGCGCTCGGTTGGTGAATGAACCCAATATCATCGGCCACGGGTCGCTGAAGACGGCATGGGCGAGGCCGTAAGATGACCGCCGATGGCACTTAGAGTCTTGGTCGACTGGTTGACATTGGCATCCACCGCGCGCCTCTTCAAAGCTCGTCGCGCGGCCGCCGCTGGCCCCTCCCTCTCTGCGCGGCGGCGCCCGATGATCTGCATCTTGTTCTGCGCGGCAGAAGCCGCCCTCTGAGCGCGAAGTAGAGGTATGCGATGAAATTGTCAGGCCCTCGAAACAAGGGCGGGCCTTTGGAATGGGGGCGCCCCCAATGTCGGGACAAGCGTCGCCCCCCTTCCCCCCGCGGGGGATGCCGAGGCGAATGCGAGGGGCAGGTGCGCGCGGGGGGCGCTGGGGCGGGCGTCGGCGGATCAGAGTCCACTCGCCGCCGCGCGGGGCGCCTGCCCCGAGACGCGCGCTGGCGGATTCCTCGGCAAAGGAATCGAGCGGAAAGGAGCTTTTCAGCAAGCGCCCAGGGCAGTTCAGTAAACGCGATTCATTTTCGGGGTCGGGGTGCATCTCCCGAAGAGGACACAACATAAGCATAAACGTTCGACGGTCCGCGCGACTTTCTTGGATCGGCACTGGACCCGGCGACGCCTCTGGCGCCGCCCCCGGCGCGCTCCGCGCGCCGGGGAGGGGGCCCAGCGCCGATGAACGAAATCCGCGCAGACCTCCGAAAGTTCAAAATATGCAAAATGTGGCGGATTTCGGAAACCCTGAACCCAAAAACGTTTTCATCTCTGGGGGGCGCATTTTTCACTTCCGCCGCCTTCCGCCGCCCTTCCGCCAGCTTCCGCCGGCTTCCGCTGGCGGAAGCGCCCTCGGTTTACT